CATTCTATTTCCATTCCGAGCATTGCTATTGGACAGTACCTTTCTCTGAGTAGAACTTCCCATGGACGCTATCTTCTTTTCACACGTTATCTCCCTTGACTCACCTTCTACCAATGGGTGCCCTTGTATTTCTCATTTCTCTAAGTTACGCTCTCACAGGACGGCTTACGCGTCCTTTCTAATTGTTCTCTTCTTTGGGTATTAACCCCTATACCAGTTACTATATATACTGTAGGAAAACCCATGTATTCCTTAGTTCAACCTCCTGTTGAATACAGCGATTACCTGGACTCTTGACTTGACCGTTGGCATTGGCCCGGCCAGACCTACCTTTCAGTACGCTTACTGAGGTAGTGACGACATAACTGTTGGCACGTGGCCCAGTTATCTCAAGACGACTAGTTAGGACATCGCTTCCTAACAGGATGTTGTTGTGAGTGTTTCCATATTTTTCCATATTTTTCTGGGGCCTGCAGGTATGGCTACCCACCTATTATTGGCAACAGCTCAGATCAAATCCCGATTTGGATCTCCATGCCGGGGATGCCGGGGATGTCGTATTCAAGCTCAGCAGGGCTGTCTGACACTAACACTTACAGACAATTGTAAAGGCTGTTTAATGTAAAAGGCTTTATGATAACAAAGGGGATCTAATACATTAATCCTACAGCATCGGCTGAGATTACACGGCGCTCGAGCATGCTATTGATCATGTCAGGGGAAACACCACGAAGCCAGAAGATTGTCGGGGGTTCTGGGCATTGGCAACAATAAGCGCGGTGACTTGGATGGAGTCGGTGGGGGCATCGGAGACAGCCCTTGAGTACTTGACGGTAGCCGCGCGAATTCGGTCCACGACCTCAACACCGCGCTCAGCAAGTGCACGTCCGTTCCAATTGTGGGGTTGGACAATGAGCGTTGGTTGGGGCTGGTCGAACATCGTCCGGGATTGAGCGCGCAAAACAGATGCGAATAGATCCGCAGGACTTTGGCAATATACCTCCGGGAAGCCTTCCGGGGGGGGGGAGGTGTGAAGGCGTCGAGTGGGGATGCTGCAGGGCGTGAGTGCTGGCGGACATTGTAAGCTTCCATTGCCTGGAGGTCCTGCTGATAGGCATTGAACAGTGCCAGGGCCTCAGCATTCTAGGTGCATGTGAGACAGTGAGCTAGAAGAGGTGGTACAATGGACGTACAGGAGGGGTCCCTTGGGGTATGCAGGGTGGGAGCCCAGGCGCGCTGCTCGTGGAGGTATTCTGGGGCTGCAATTGGGTACGCCCTTGTCAGCCTGGTGTGGTGTCCATTGGGGTCGTTGCCGGTGGCGTTGGGTCAGGGTTGGAGGGGCCAGCCATGGCGTGCAGCTGAGCCGGAGGTGAGACGTGTAGCGGGAGCGGTCGCAGTGGACTTGATGTTGTCGTGTACAGCGTGCGCATACGTCATTGTTGGTGGTGTATGAGGTACTCGAGGCAGGGATGGCTGGGGAGCACAGAGTTTGTAAACAAAAGAGTTGTCGCTGGTGGGTTCACGTAGCCATACCTTGGGTGTCCCATTGAACTCCTGGGGTGGGTGGGGAGGCGGCATCGTGGATGGGGTGCGTGCGTGTTGTTTGCCTTTTGCTTTGGCTGAACGGGAGTGCTCTGCGGGGGGGTGAGCCTTGATATCTTCATCATCGTCTTCATCTTCGGATGTGGTGAGTCCGGGCATGTCATCATCCTCGGTGTCGGCAGGACCAGCCTGTCTACGGGCAGCAATCAAGAGAGTGGGGGGGTTGTGTGTCCGGACGGGGGTGGGCGTGGCTTGCAAGTCTGCGAAAGCAGCGTCCTCGCTCGCAGGGAGTAACATGGATGTGGTTGGGGAGGGGGCACGCCCTGCAGTGTGGGTGTTAGGAGCATTAGGTAAGGCTGGTAGAGGCATACCATTGTCTTCGCTGGGGGCAACTGTGTCATCTACGTTGTTACGATGGGGAGTCTCTGTGTGCGAGGTGGTCGCTGCAGCCTGCACCAGTGGGTTGTCCATCTGAGGATTTTGTTGGTCTTGGACATCCGTTTGCAGGGCTGTGGGCTGTCCAATGTTTGAGCGGGCGTCAGAGGGCCTGCCTCCGGCACCGCCCAGGCTGCATCGCAAGGAACGACGGGCAGCGACTGGGCGCTCATTGGCTTCCTGAGTCGCCGTTTTAATAGAGCTTCGAGGGTCGTCGCTCTTCATTTGGATGTTTGGGTAGGTTTGACGCTGTGGGCACCAGGCATGGCTGTTTCAAGAGGTGTCCAAGAAAGGGTGAGAAGGGGTATTTTTGGTGTTCAGCGCCTGGTGTAGGCTTGACGTACTGTACAGTTTACTTCGGGCATTGCCGAAGAGGAGGGGGGAGGTAGGTGGGTAGGTGCAGTATAAGTGGGGTTAGGGAGGATTCCTGGTTAAAGTGGGGGTTTCTGGTGTTTTCCTGGATGATGGGAGCATTATGGGTGTATGGTTATGGCTTAGAAGGGTTATAATCTAAGTACAGGAGTGGATGGGGACAGGTTCTGTCAGATGTAGGCTTAGGTTCATGCTGTATGGTTCGGTTCGGGGTGTGCGGCATTCCACAGCGAGCTTGGGTCTCAACTTCGTTTTAGCTGGTGCCATACGGGTGTCGGCGGGCTGTGGTGTAGCCTCTTAGTTATTCGGAGGGGTGTCGTGAGTGACGAGAGGCACATTGGCCTCGCTCCTTGCCCTATGGGGCGTGGGAACTCTCGTGCCATGGTGGTGGTACGAGATCAAGGAGCATCCACCGTCTTTGCTATTGCGCCCCTGTGTAAACACGACCAAATATTATCTTTTCGAGAAGAATATCATGTGACCTCCGACCCCTCCGGCCGCGTCACTAAAAATAACTGGACCCAGCCGTATAAAGTAAATGCCGATTACATTGCCATCATATTATTTTGATGTGTAGTATTTTTATTGCTTCTTTAGTGTAGTGGTTATGCGGGATGTATTGATTGCTGGATGTCTGGAGTTCAATTCCTACCTGTGCACATTTTTTATTTGTGCTTTTAGGGTTTATTAACTTTCCTTACTGTTGGCTTTTATATTTACCCTGTCCAGCCACATGTATCACAGCTATATAGATTTCAATGAAAATTTATTTTGCCCCATCCATATGACCCTCTTAGTGCAGACTTGAAGATACTCTAACTGGCTGGACACGCGCGCGGCGGGAAGCCCGCGTTTGCCGGCATCACGTGACATTCTTCTCGATATGGTATGTTTGTACGTGTTTGCACGGGGGCGCAGTAAAGCTACCTACAGTGCCTTGCATAAGAAACTGAACATCGCATTTCCGCGCGCTGATAAGCCTCAGGATCGTCTGACCCCCGAACACGCGGATTCAGCACATCATACAAGCGCCCCGGAGCTTATTCGACACAGCGCTCGCACGCCTCTAGGCTTCTATGGGCTCTAAAAGACTTTTTCTATTTAGCTCCGGACTTCCCAACATCCTCGAGGCGTACTCGGACCCATTCCGCAATTTATCTCCGCGCACCGAAGCTCCGGAGTGACTTAACCAATGCGACTTCTAGCTGAATTAGCTCCGGGACCCGCGGACACTTCTATCGAGGGGCGTCTTCCTCATGCCCACCCTCCAGCACTTACTCCCCCTCGTTTCCGTCAAGATACCGAAGGTGCGGACGCATACGAGTCACCATAAGGTCAGCATCAGTCAGCAAACGGCCGGAGGTAATTAACACGTGACCGGCGTGTCGCACGGAGTGATGGGACCGCTTGGGTCAGGTGGCGAAGCGTCGAGGCGACCTATAGGGGCTGGAAAGAGCAAGTGGGAGCGCAAGAGAGTCGTATGGTATATGG